TTCATAGCGCCTCTCGAATGCTTCAAGCTCCTTGTTCCGTATATGTTGCTGAGCTGGCGGCAATATACTATATGCTAGAAACGATCGCCTCAATTCCACCAGATCACTATTTTATTTTTACGGATAGTCTCAGTTCTGTCGAGGCTATTCGCTCCATGAGGCCGGTAAAGCACTCCTCGTATTTTCTCATGAAAATACGAGAGCTTTTAAGTGCTTTATCTTTAAGATCTTTTGTCATCACTTTTGCATGGGTCCCATCTCATTGCTCGATTCCGGGCAATGAGATGGCTGACTCACTTGCTAAGGTGGGCGCTATGCAAGGCGATATTTACGATCGACAAATCACCTACGATGAATTTTTTTTTCATTTATCGTCAACAGTCACTCGTCAGCTGACAGAATAAGTGGAGTGAAGGGAGTTTGGGACGCTGGCTATATTCGATCATCCCTAAGGTGTCGAAGAGTCCTTGGTTCAAGGGGTTGGATGTGAGTCGAGACTTCATTCGTATGATGTCTAGCCTCATGTCCAATCACTATTCGTTAAACGCTCACTTGTTCCGTGTTGGGCTGAAGGACAAGGTTACCAGGACGCAGATCACATTATTTGGTCTTGTGCTGAGCATTGTGGAGTCAGATCTGAGCTGTACGATTCCCTTCTGGCTCGAGGTAGACAACCTAATGTTCCAGTTCGGGATATTTTGGCTAGACGCGATCTGGAGTTTATGAAACTCATATATGTTTGCTTTAAGAATATTAACATTAGATTGTTAGTTTGATTAACCTTGTGTTTAGTTTGTATTTTGTACGTGTGGGTTTTTTTATGTTTGTTTTCAAGATGAATAGAAATTAGTTCATGTTTTAGGATTAATCAAATATTTGTATCGTACACCACATTTCAAACCTCCCTCTCCCTTTTCCCATCCAAAAAAATTGTGAATCTCCACTAACCTCGAGGCAACCGTGAGTATCCGGTCCAGCTCCTTTAACTTTAAATATAAGACATCAATAATGTATAACGAAAATGATAACTCGACTCTGTAAAGTTTATTCGATTGAGCCTGTACAAATAAAGTAATTAATAAAAAAAATATATAGTGCACGCTTGTGTTGGTGCAAGCGCTACTCGCATCTGTCAACTAACAGGGTTCGGCAACCTGAAACCAACTTTATTACACCGTAAAGCGTTGGGCACAACACATATTGATCAACAAATAGGAAAAGCAACAAATGCTTTTTGGATATGTAAAAGCACATTTGGAAAAAAATGGGGTATGAAGCCAAACATCAAATACTGGATATACTTGGCTATACTCCCTATAATTGCATATCAGTCCCATATGGATTTTCATCAATTTTGAGATAACAACGCTATCCACTATCAATTGGCATCTACTTTCATATTATGTAATAAAACTATGGACTTTGATCATGAAAAATGTAAAAACAACATCAGGTCAGTTTGTCCCATCCAGCAAAATAATCGCATATTAGTCCCATCCTGAAATCCAATCGCCCATAGTTCTAGTTAAAAGTCTGCTTTTTGAATTGCCATATTTTTCGCTGATATAACAAAATATGCAAGCTTCATTGCAACATATTTTAACTTGAAAAAATGTTCAATTAATTTACTATCATTTGTCAAATATTTACATGGAATTTGCACTTCATAATTTTGATTGCCATTTTCTCAATGCCTACTTTTTTTCCATATGGGACTGATCTGGGATTATAGGCAGTATCTCGGGTAGTATAGATAAACCCAGAATCACCTACGTGTCACTTATCTGGTGGAAAAAAATCAATCAACAAACTAAACGAGCTTGCTACTATTTCCATAACTGGAACAATGCGTAGTACTCCCTCTAAAGCCTTAGATGCGTTACTCAATCTTCTTCCTCTACATCAATTTATTCTACTGGATGCAGTAAAAAGTGCTCTGAGGCTCAAACGGTCCAGGAAGTTCTTCGATGGAGATCTTACTGGACACTTTAGTATTCTAAAAGAGTTTCAAATAAGTCCAAGTGATGAACGAAGATTGCTAAAACGACATTATTTCAACCATAAATTTAGAGTTCCTGATGTGACTCGCTTTGATTGGGATGCATGAGAACTTGATATTCGTCCTGGATCATAAGTTTTTGTTACAGACGGCACGAAACAAGATAATAAAGTGAGTGCGCTGTAATAACCAGCCCTGAAATTAAAAACTTTATATGTTTTATAAAGTCAAGCGCTTTTCATACGCAATCTTTCAAAACATGATTTGAGTACATATACTGGTTTGATACAGGACATTGTCCTTGTAAATATCACCTGAAACTCATTGGTAAACTGCATGAAGAAAAATGTCGCTTTTGTAGCTTAAAGAGTGAAAGCTCTGAACATTGGTTGTGTGACTGTGTTACTCTATTTCAAAACTATGCAGATATCTTGATAAGGGATTGATCTTGAAGGGAAATCTGGGCTGCTGCTCCCCATCAGAAAATAAATTTCATACGGAATTTATTACCTAGTTGGGATAATTTCCTTCAACAATAGTGGTAGCTACTCAAACAGTAGTTATGGAATAAATAATCATTACGTTATGGAATAAATAAAAAAAAGTATACACCACAATAGATCAAAGCAATAGTAGCGGTGGTATTATGTACCCAGCACAGGAAAAAAATAGAGGCGTCCGCTGGTTTTGATGTTTTCAACGAATTTCTTAGCGCCTCCCGAATGCTTCAAGCTCATTGTTCCATATATGTTGCTGAGCTGGCGGCAATACATTATACGCTAGAAATAATCGCCTCACTTGCACCAGATCACTATTTTATTTTTTACGGATAATCTCAGTTCTGTAGAGGCAATTCGTACATTCGCACTCATCGTATTTTTTCACGAAAATACGAGAGCTTCTATGTGCTTTATGTTTAAGTTCATTTGTCGTCACCTTTGCATGGGTCCCATCTTATTGCTCGATTCCTGGAAATGTGATGACGGAATCTCTTGCTAGGGTGGGCGCTATGAAAGGCGATATTTACGAGCGACAAGTCGCCTACAATGAATGTTTCTTCAACAGTCACTCGTCAGCTGGCAAAATAAATGGATTGAAGGAAGTTTGGGACGATGACTTTATTCGAAAATTCCTAAGGTGTCCTTGAAGAAAATTCCTAAGGTGTCCCGAAGAATCCTTGTTTTAAATGATTGGAGGTGGTTCGAGATTTCATACGTGGGATGTCTCGCCTCATGTCTAATCACTATTCGTTAAACGCTCACTTGTTCCGTGTTGGGCTGGGGGACAGCAATATCTGTGAATGTGGACACGGTTACCAGGACGTAGATCACATTATTTGGTCTTGTGCTGAGCATCGTGGAGTCAGATCTGAGCTATACGATTCCTATTCGGGATATTTTGGCTAGATGTGCTCTGAAAAGCATATATGTATTCTTGAAGAATATTAACCATAGATTATAGTTTGATTAAATTTGTGTTTAGTTTTTATTTTTTGTGTGCGCGTTTTTTATGTTTGTTTTAGTAATAACTGTATAACTGTAATAACACTGCTGATTAGTACCGCCACTTGTGGTGCACATAATCAATTCCCTAACGTTTGACGTTTACACACTACAACCATCTGTTGAGTGTATTGCCCATCAAAGTATATACCACAGATGGCGGTAGGGTTAACAATGATAAATGTTCAATGTGTTGTGTCTGCTTGTCTGTGAAATAACATGGAGGTAACGTTAGGATAAAATCAAAACATTGAGAAATATAACGCATCACTTTCAGAAATATTTCACTTCGCAACCGATGAACCATTCTGACGGCCATATGAGTACCCAAGTAACCATATAGTTGCAATATAGCTTGTATATTCTTACTTTGCTTGACTATGGTTAGTTGGGGAATCTGATGAAACTGTCACTTCTTGAAACTGATCCCTTTCGTATTTCTTTCATTCTCTTTTCGCACACGGAGCGCTCGGTAGAACAGCGATTTTGGACGTGAGCCTCGTCCCAGATAACCATGGCAATTCATTTCAATCCAATGAAACCGAACAAAAAAGGCGGAATCATATTAGAACCAACCAAGGACGATCTACGGAATGAAATTGCCGGTGAAGCACGGAATGAAGTACGAAGCGTTAGAGAAAAAGTCCAAGGGATTCCAAAATAAGTAATCAACGACGTCGGAAGAGCAGAATATGGTGAGAGCTTTCCAATTATTAAAAAAATATATATATATCAAAATTAAACTAAATACATGCCAGGTTTGAAAAAAATATATTTTCGAACCTGGAAGCGTGTATGTCATACCAATATCCATTTGATAACAGTGATGCATACATGCGGGGCTTATTGTAAGTGAAATTAACCTCGGAATGGGCGTGACTCTCCAGACATTCTGAAATGGGTTGCTGGATCTGCAATAGAGCTATCACCTTCTAACTCCTGGACTAAAACTGTCTACAATGACCATAAATGCGACATTGTAGAGAGAGTTCTTCCATAATAACACTGCCGGCCAGTGGGGGTTAGATTGAATACACACACACAACTGTAATTACACTGATCATCAAGTTGAATTGGAGTAAGTTCATGTTTTAGGAATAGTGAAATATTTGTATTGTAAATCACCTGGGGAGAGGCATCCATAACATTGTAAATCTCTACTATCGACCGTGAGTATTCTGTTCAATTTCCTTAACTCTAGATTTAAGACATTAATTATGTATAACGCAAACGATAACTTGGCTCGGCGAAGTTTATTCGATTGAGCCTGTACAAATCAATTAATTTACAAAAATATACATTTTAAAAAATAAGCAATTAATTTATTGATGGTTCTCTTTAAGCACAAAAGCTTCACCGAAAACACTAAACGTCTAAATATTAAAACAAAAGTTCTACGACTAATTTCCTGATAAATCCTCATACTGGGCAACTGTGCACTGTGCATTGACTTGTGAATTTGTGATATAACCTCATAAATCATTAAAACACCAACAAATTCACTGGTGTGATACTGCAGCAGTATCATTTTTATTTGCGCTATGTATGTTTATGTGCCCAGAATTTTTACCGTACCGAATTCGTATAGGAGATGCCAAATTGTTTTCCGTTTCCGTTGAATTCATTCTGAAAATGTTTCGCACAGTTTCATTCGGTTGTGAGATGGTCTTGTTCAGGAAATGTGGAATCAGCATAGATGAAACGTATCTTGGTTTTGTTAGGCCACTGACATATGGATTGGCGTAAGCTTTTGCTGAAGGCTGAAACTTCGGGGAAACTGGTGGGTACAACAACTGTCCCGGGACCGGTTCCTGACTGTAGAAGCGACTATTGTGTGACATTCGAAAGTTGTCCTCATCCGAGTACTCGACTTTTTCGTGTTGGAATGCTGGAAGGTTTTGCACTTGCTTTTCCGTTCGAGATTTACTTTTGGCGCTCATTCTAGAGCTTAGACGAGGAGGTCCCAGGAAACCTCGACTCAGATACAAACGAAGCAAATAATCCTCCAGGTAGCTCTCAACCGTTTCTTCAGATTCTCCCATCATAACATCATTTCGTCTAATCACAGTTCTTAACTTCGGTTGTCTCAAAAGGCGCAACTTATGTAGACACTCACAGTCATGGTTGTTTTCACGATCAATGCTTTGTTTCAAAGGAATTGTTGAGTACTCGCGTCCGTTTTTCCAGAAGTTTGCATTTACTGGAACACCTTCAGGAATACTAAAATGAGCACAACTATTAGAATAACTTGGAATCACTACACAATCTAATTTATAAATCACCGTCTAGCGCTAAGTATAGCAATCGCTCCAACGAACAACAACACCACACTTGACCACATTTTTGCTTCCGCTACTTTCGATAAATTCTACTCGCAAACTACTGCTAAACCACCTGCACGCGATCACTGCCCTTCCGTTAATGAATAGATCAGCGAAGATGTTTAGGGTTTACGGTCTCAGTACTGCAACGCATGACTGAGCTCCAATCGCCAACTGTTGCGCTTTATTCAAAAGACCATGCAGATGTAGCTTACTTTCAATGTGCTTGGGCTTCTGCGCCAAGCCTCCAACATAAGGAAATGCTAAATAATAGCCAAAAATTTTGATGAAAACTTGCCAGACGAGTTTGTTCTTGTATTGTGAAAGAGATACGATATTGGCGCAAGCGCACCAAATCGAGATGCGCAACGTAGCGTTTTCAACACTTTCCGACATTAAAACGTGCTTCATAGTACCATGAAAAAAAAAAACAAATCCTGTTCACTGTAAGTAAGTTGTTGCATAATGGAAAATTATTGTCCATTAAATATTTAGTAGATAGCACACTATTAAACGATTCATCAACCGCACCGAGAAATTTGGCCTAAAGCTCGCAATATCGTTTCCCAAACTGAAGCGAATCCAATTTTGAATGGCCTAGCAGCAAAAGATGATGGAAAAACATTGCTGAAAAAAAACACGCGGAAAAATCTAGTCGAAATGTAAGGGTTCAGGTTCAGTGTACAGTAATTAAAGCGTGTACCGTTCGTTGCAGTGACATGGCAAACTCGTGTGAATAGGGTTAACACCGTTCAACGTGGTTCGACTGTAATAAATATCAAAACAAACATTAAACTCCATGTAGGAATCCGCGGACCAACAACAGAGCAGCGGAAGCGAACGAAAGTGGAAGCCCGCCCTATCTGCGATTGCTGCTTCTTATGGATAGAGTGTGTGCGCGTAGAAGAGCTAAAGCTGGATAATAGCGGCGCAATTTTTATTTATCTAAGCCAAAATTGTGGCTAGCAAAGGTACGAGGCAAAAGAAGTGTAAACTTAACATCGCTTTACAATTGAAGCATCAAACTTACTAAGAGCAAAACAAAGATATGAGAGTTTCCCAGTTTGAATGGGAGTAGAAAGAAACGATGATGATGATGACGCTGGCAAATTTCATTCAATAATATAAAAATGAAAAAGAAACGTTCGTTAGTAAATATCACACAAAATTGTTTTCTAAATATCTCGAAACAAGTCATGGTCAACTAATACATTTTGCAGAAAATATCGTGTGTTAGTGGATCTCACCACAAAACAAGAATCGCATCAAATACCTTGCTACGACCTTACAATCGCAAGGAATAGGAAGGAACGTTAGTGCAATATCTGCTAAATAAGGTTTAGGAAAGGAGGATTTATATGTAATTAAGAAATTGTGCATGATTGAGAAACTCTATTAGGCATTATAGATTACATCTAGTAATAGCCATATTAACACAAATGGAAGCGCAATTAAATTAAAATTCTAAATGATTTGCAACAAGTCTGCCTTTTCATGTTTTCGAAGCTGTTTCATGGATCATCCGCTCACCACTACTCTCGAGCACGCGTCCCATTACACCACAAATATCGCTCTTCTTTTATCCTGCCCCTGCCGAGCTTTCCTCTCCCATAGCGTCTGTGACTTGTCAGCAGAGATGCCAGTTTTTTTTTTTTTCAAAGGTCTGCGAAAAATGTCTGTGAATTTCAGAAATGTCTGTAATTGAGCTGCATAAAATTAGCAAAAGTTTTGCGTGGTAAAATAGGGGGGGGGGGGGGGTTGGCAATGAAATAGATGCGAAATTTTAAATGTCAGTAATAGTCATGTTCGAGCAAAAAAGACCTGCTTTAACGGATTGAACCTGAGTGGAGTTGGGAATGCAGTTATAATTAATAAAAAGATAAATTACGATTACACGACAAATGAGGTCGACTCAAAGTTCCATTAACAAAACCAATGATATCTTTCTGAATTTCACATTCATGTGATCACATAAATTCTATATGATAAATCACTTAAATTTCATTGGACACATCAGGTTCATGTGATTTTGCGGTGCAATTCCCGATTATGATATCACATGAAAGTTGAAATGTGAAATTCTAATGAATATTTTCCATTGGATATGTGATTTATTCTTGAGTAAATTGTTCATCGATTTTTCTCATATTCGAAAAGATTTATGAGGCTCGGAAAATTGTACTCAGTCTACAAGTAAACTGCGTTTTCTAGAGTTTGAGTAATTTAAACTTAAATTTGAGTCGATCTTATATGCCATGTAGTGTGGAAATCCGTTAGTTACTTAGTTACTGGTCTTTTTTCACGCCAGCAGCGGGGGAACGAGACCATCTTAGTGAGAGATTCAACTTTTTTCCATCTAAATATGGAGAAATCGACAATCAAAAGAGCAATCTATAAGATTATTAATGCGATTCTAAACACTTCGTGCTCAAAACGTGCTGATGAATCAGGATCAGGGTTGCTGACACGATTCAGATAGGAAGGAGTTTCGAAATAAACATCATCGCAAAATGGAGAGTACTGTACAACGAAGCCAAGTACGATGAATTGGCGCTAAACACTAACACTGTTGTAACGATTTTACAAATACTGTTTAAAAATAAGATATATTAAGCAACACATTCATTACATTTTGCAAAATAATTACACACCTGGGGGAGAAAACTTGGTTAAATATAACACAATTTGCTAATACCAACCAAGGTGTACCGAAAAATTATGATATCATTTGAAAAACACAGTTTCGTTCCAAGACCCGGAAATACGAATGGCATATACCAATAGACTCATCTCAATGGGATCGGAAAATGTTTCTGTATGTGTGCATATATGTATGTATGTATGTATTTATGTATGTACGTATGAGTGTAATTCACTCACTTTTTGCAGAGATTGCTGCACCAATTTGATTGATTGATTGATTTATCTTTATTAAGGAAGCTTTCAGCCTGAGGCTGGTTCACCTCCAATGCACCAATTTGAGTAGAACATTCCAGAAGATGTGATTCAGATCCCCATAGATCGCTATTGATTTTTTTTCCGATCGAAATTATGGTTCCGAAGATATGAACAAAAATGTGAATTCCAGATTCCACTGGGGAATTCGCAAAAGATTGATATATCAAAAACTCATCATGCAACACCTCAAATCATATTAGAATTTTAGTATAAGATCAATGGTGGACATTTTCAGACCCAATGATCACAATGGCCTCTTTCAGATGTACCAGGTACCTTCGGGAAGTGGACAGATTCTGACATGCATCGAAATGCATCGTACGATACCTCAAATCACATGGAACTCAACATAATGATTAGTGCAAGTATTTATATTGATTTTCCATAAAACCTCATTGAAATTTATTGAAAGAAGAGAAATTTTGAAATGTATACAAAATTTCTCACTCACTTTCCTTGACTCTAGCTGTATCGATTTGAGTGAAACCCCTTTATTTTGTTTGTTTGGTTCTCTCATACACAAATTTTTTTTTCTGAATTTTAACTGTCTCCTCTCCAGTGATGCAAAATATCATGACACTCACTCGACACTCGTCAACGCCTCAACCGACTATTGCTGAAAGAACGTTTTGTCACGCAGTGAGAGGTAGAGGAATGGCAAACAACAATCACCAATAATGGACGCTGCTCACAGGCAAAACACTCGCTGCTGATAATGTAAAGCACAACGAAAACAGTGATGACTTCTGCAGTAGATGAGAAAAAGCGAAACGACAGAAGAAAATTAAAACAATGCCTACGAATTCCAAGTTCGTCTCGGCACGCGTGACTGTGTGAGTTACAAACAGTGCTGGCAAAATTAACCGGTTTCTTGTGGGGTCACTCACCAACACACTCACATAAGCAAGCACAGCAGCAACTGGTTTAAAAACGAGCACAGATGGTGTCGTGATTGTCGGGAATGACCATATCGGAGATAGATCACCACCGAAGACGAAATTCACCAGTTGCTTTTTACTTGCTTCGTCAACTTGATGGATGGTCATGGAAAATGCTTCGACAAGCGCATTGATAGGAATGTACCAAGTGTTACTACCATCAGCTGTTTGACCATCGTGATTGTGATAGGTCGCAACTCTGCTCCTCTCGTTTAATTTTGAGCTATACTGCCGTTCTTCGAATGTCGGTCCCATAGTAGTTTTTGTCAAAATTGAGTTTTTCAATGCAAATGGTAGCCAGCTACCCATATTTTCATAATACTGGATGAACTCATCAACTTTGTTCTGAAAAAGTTTGGAAAGACAGTCACATAGGTTGTACCATAACATAAGAAGGAATGGTACGAAGCAAACTTAAAACGCGATATTCTCGGCTTGTCGATTTTCGCTATGGGACGGACATGCGAAGAGCGGCAGTATACAGGGTGATTCGGAATAACTGTCCCTTTTAAAAATGGTCATAACGATTGAACGCTTGCATGAATTTTTGATATCATTATATTCCAGATATTCTACATATATAACCTTCAACAAAGCATAGTTTATTTCAAATCTTTACCTTAATTATCATCCACATTTGTCATGAAAATTAACCACAGCTGGCACGCACGCTTTAGTTCCAGCACTTTTTGAGTCCCGGTGATGCGTTTAAGCTCTGATATTGAACGGATCATCCAAGCATGGTTCCTTTGTACCTCTATAATGATGCAAAAATAAATGTTACATTCTTTCGAAGAGATTTCAGTTTCTAAAAGATAACACACGATTTTTTTACAGATTTATGCCATGCTCCATTTGGACGTCAATGGCTGTTTGAAATCACAAATGAATGAAATTTCAAATCCTACTATCAATACAAGCTTATATGTGCACACACTTAAAACAAAAATACTTGAACATATACCAATTTTACCCATTGAGAATTGCATATTTGTGAAATCGGTGACAGTTATTCTGAATCACCCTGTAGTTGGTGTAATCAACGAAGTTGCTTACAAGCATGTATACAATATTCTGATTTACGAAATATCGTATTAAATAACAACAAATATAGCGTTAATAACATGTGCGCTATATATCGCAGAAATTTACATGATTTTTTCATATGGTGTAGGACGCTAATGGATTTTATCCCGATCGCACATTGGGTTGCGGAGATGTGGCAAAAAAGTGAGATTTTAAGATAATTAAATAAAACTCACTCACTTTTCTCGACGTTGGCTGAACCGATTTGAATTAAACCACTTCCATTTTGTTTA